GGGGGGGGGGGGGGGGGTACAAAGATTGGGGACAATAATATATGATTCCAAAGCCAAAGTCCTACCCAACATATTTTGAGGATTTGAACTAAGACTGCATGCATGATTCTTAAACAATTTCTTCTGTTACTTGAGAATTCAAACGTATTTGATGGTAAACCTGAACTCAATGTGACGCAGATAAGCAAGCTTATCAATTTCCCAGAAAGCAAGTGCTTGTATGTGGTCGCTACTGATGGTCTCCAAGAAGATTTTTCCTACCGCAAGTGTCTGGACAACATGATCAGGGGAAAGTATCCCAAAACCGCAGAGGAGTTCACTGCGAAATACTTCAGAAAGCCTCGATCTGGAGGGAACCGGGAGCAAAACTCTGTGCCTCCACAGACTCCTCAGGATGAAAATCAGCACTAGCCCAGCCATGTATATGTAAATTCCTCTTGATTGCATATATTGAGCACATGTTGATTCATCGTCTCCTCCTGACAACATTATACTAAGAAACACAAGAGTCATGAGCTGTTTTTACTGTCTTCACTTCATTCTAGTTGCTCCATTGCAGCTCCTTTTCTTTACTTAACAGCAGATTGAAATGCCCCCGGTTATATTATTATTCCCTTGACGACTTGCTAGTGCTTAACAATGAGGGCTGTAAGGAAGCTGAGCACATCTAACACATGGTTCAGGAATCATCAGGTGGTTGGAATGGACATCTCATTTTATTTTTATTTATTTATTTTTAATGCACACCAAAGTGCCAACTCCGGCTTGAAATTGATGAATGCAATTTATATTTGAGGAAATGCTACTGAATAAATCTTTTTTATTTTATTTTTAAAATTAGGAGTTGTATCATATCCTCATCAGGCATCTTAAAACTCAGGGATTAGAAAAACGAAGGAATACAACACAAAACAACTGCATGGTTAGTTATGGATCATGATAATTCCATAGAATACTGTAAGGCTACTTAATTTGTCTAATTTTATTAGTTTATAATTATTAATATGATTGAAAATAATAGTTTATTAGTTGACTTTAAATCGTTAAATAAAAAATATTAATATTTACTGGTAGCTAATTGTTCATAACAGTCAAAGACATATTTTTGCTTGACCATAACCATGGTTGGTTACTTGCACGTTTGAACTACTTTTCTCATGATGGTAACAGCTTATGAAGGTAATGCCACTAATACAGTCGTTAAAAAAACACTCGGCCAAGATGGCGTGGCGGCGAGCTATTAGGAGGGAAAGCATCTTGTTTACTTTGATTGACAACATCACATCACATCACACTGCCTAGTGGTTAATGCCGCCAAAATCTTCATCTTCGTCTTCACCTTCATCGCCCAGGGATAATCAGTCAGTTACAGTTTCAACGACTTTCAAGTTCGGAATTTGATGGCTTCTTTGATGGTCGGGCAGCCTCCTTTTCCTTTGGGAAATGGTTACAAAATCTGGGAAGATCAGTCCTTTATCAAGTGGAATAAGAGAGATCCTCATGTTACTTTGCGTTGTCATGACTCCATCGAAGGTCCAACATCTGTTATATGGCTTTCTTTCTACCATGTCCTCTTAATTCAGAGTGTCTGTGTGTTATTCTTTATCATATTTGAAAATTTTTGAATTGGATTATCGATCAGACACAAATTCCTGTTTCTGAACTGTATTCATTCATACACAGCCTCTCTTAAGTACTGGTACGAACGCAATAAAGTGGACCTTTCTGTTTCAAAATCTGCTGTTTGGAACGATGATGCTGTTCCTGCTGCTCTTGAAAATGCCGCTTCCTGGGTCCAACAATTGCCTTTTGTTAAATCCCTGTCTGGATACTGGAAATTTTTCTTGGCTCCTAATCCCACCACTGTTCCTGACAATTTTCATCAGACTGCCTTTCAGGATCCTGACTGGCCAACTTTGCCTGGTAAGCAGTGCTAATCAATCTTCTCTTTTCACTCATAATTGTCTATGGCTTCTTCTCTCATAATCTATACTACTACTTTTGTTGTATTCAACTATGATAATTAATTACTAAATGGTGCTCTAGAAAAACCCCTTTAACTTCTATGAATATAACTTGTGGATGCCTTTTTATTTTAATTTTAATTACTATCTCTTTCTGTTTTTCTGTTTCATTTTTAGATTTCTGTCTCATAATCTTTTTATTCATTTTCTTACTGTACCAGTTCCTTCAAATTGGCAAATGCATGGATTTGATCGCCCTATTTACACAAATTTTGTTTATCCATTTCCACTGGATCCTCCTCACCTTCCTCAGGATAATCCTACAGGCTGCTACAGAACTTACTTTACTATTCCTAAAGAGTGGCAGGGTATGTACCTGCCCTCGATATCCTACCAATTATATACATCTTACCATTCACTCTTATCATCTGTTAACTCTTTTAATTGTATCTATATCATACTAAACTTTTTATTGATTTGTGTTCTGACAGGTCGTAGGATTATCTTGCATTTTGAGGCTGTTGATTCTGCTTTCTGTGCATGGATAAATGGGGTCCCTGTTGGATATAGGTATGTGATGCATACTTAAAAAATGTCCTGGAGATCATTGCTAAGGTATATCTGTGTGCAGATGTTACTACCGATATGCTATGTTTTGCTACTTCTCTCTAAATCTTTTAGTTAATGTTAGCTAACAACATTCTCTGATCTCTTATTTATTTGCTTCTCTCTAAACTTTCTTATTTATTTATTTATTTTTGTGTATGAGTTGCAGTTTTATTGGAATCTTCTATAGGAACTATTGCTCTATTAATAAACTCTTCTCTGTTGTGTAAGGTTAGTCAGGATAGCAGATTACCAGCCGAATTTGAAATTACAGATTACTGTTATCAATTTGGTTCAGATAAGAAAAATGTTTTGGCCGTTCAAGTTTTGAGATGGAGTGATGGGTCTTATCTTGAAGATCAAGATCACTGGAGGATATCTGGCATTCATCGTGATGTGCTTCTTCTTGCAAAGCCACAGGTATCTACTCTCTTCAATCTTGTTACATCTTGTTTTACTCACCATTACTTACACGAATTTCATTGGCAGTGAGGATAAGCAGAGAGGCAACTGAAGCTTTTTATTGGCTTACCCTTGACTTGAGCAAATCCATCTCTATTTCTAGAGATGTGAATATATCGCACTGTTATCTTTGGCCCTTTTCTTGTTATCTTACAGTGTATTGAATGATAATGAAAAGAACAAATTATTTTTTTTTTCAGGTTTTCATTGCGGACTACTTTTTCAATTCAAATCTGTCTGATAACTTCTCTCATGCAGATATACACGTAAGTACTTATCAATTTAAGAATATACATTCCACATTTGAGAGTAACAAATTTGAAGATTATGTGTGGTTGAGTTTTTCTCTTTTAAGGGTTCATTTGCTAGTTTAAGCAACAGTTGTAGTATGCTGGAGCTTTAAAGCCCTCAATTCTAATTCATTGTGACTATTTGATGACTATTCAGGTTGAAGTAAAAATAGATGACTCACGAGAAACATTGAAAGACAGAGAGCTGGCAAACTATGTCATAGAAGCTGCATTATATGACACTGGGAGCTGGTACAACAGGGATGGACATGTTGATTTGCTTTCATCAAATGTGGCTAACTTAACATTGAGCACCCCCACCAGTGGTAGTCATGGATTTAATGGTTATATACTAGTAGGGAAACTAGAAAAGCCCAATCTCTGGTCTGCAGAACAAGTAAGGATGCCTTCTTTTTTTTCTTTTTTTTTTTTATTGTTCAATTAACTTTTCGGTTCGTCTAAATTGCTATGCTTCTTATGCACAGCTTCTCCTGTTTATTTGTTCTTAAGAGGGTCTTTCTCCCTTTGGTTTGGGGGGCATTTGGCATTACCATTTCTTCATTAAATTCTTACCTGCTTGTTCTCATCCCCTGCAGCCAAATTTGTACACACTGGTTATTGTCCTTAAAAATGCATCTGGCTACGTGATTGACTGCGAATCATGCCTAATTGGTATAAGACAAGTATCAAAAGCTCCAAAACAGCTACTTGTTAATGGGCATCCGGTTGTAATACGAGGTGTGAACAGGCATGAACATCATCCACGTCTAGGGAAGACAAACATAGAATCTTGCATGATTAAGGTGATGGTTTTTTGGTTCTCGCTGTTTTCTTTACTTGGCAAGATGGCATTGCAGCTTACAGCTACGATTTTCTTAAAATGCTGAGATTTTTCATTATTTTGGCTTACAGGACTTGGTTCTGATGAAGCAGAACAATATCAATGCTGTCAGAAACAGCCACTATCCTCAACATCCCCGTTGGTATGAGTTATGTGACCTGTTTGGCATGTATATGATAGATGAAGCCAATATCGAGACACATGGGTTTGTTCTGTCTGGGCATCTGAAGCATCCTACTGAAGAACCTAGTTGGGCTTCTGCAATGATGGATCGTGTAATTGGCATGGTGGAAAGGGACAAAAATCATGCATGCATCATTTCTTGGTCCTTAGGAAATGAGGCTGGATATGGGCCTAATCATTCTGCTTCAGCTGGTATTGCATTGTGTTCTATTTCTGCATAGCAATTGGGCATGCATAGGAGAAACTAGAATAAATTTTGCTCCTTAGTAATTTATTAGTCAGCATAAAAAGGAAGAAAA